AAAATTCTGGTTTTATGTAATTTCCACTTTCAAAAATCAGATTTGATAAAAAAAATTCAAAAATTAGGTATCAATTTAAACTTTTTAATATTTTAAAATTAAATTAACTCCACCCATCAAAATCCTAATAATTTTTCACTCTTCTTTCTCTCTTCTTCAGCCGATTTTCACTCATCTCTACATCTTTCCTTTCTCTCTTCTTTTCTTTCACTCTCTCTATTCGAACGCCGACGACCGACAATGAAGGAGTTGCGTCAACTGACGACGCTGCGGCATCGAGGGTTGCTGAGAGTTCTCAACAGCGTCATCGACTGACGCTGCAGTCAGCCAAACTGATGTCGGCGACTCCTCATGACATGCCCAATATACAGGCCGATTCCTTTTCTCAAGACCACCTCAACAAATAACAATCCCCATCAAAATCTTCAAGCTCGTTAATGCAACCGATAATTGCGCAACTTTCTGTTGATGATTGGTGTGTGGCGTTGTTTTGGCGGTGGTGACTGGTGGTATGTGTGTGGTGTTGCTAGTGCGCTGTGGTGATGGTGGTGTTGCAAAAATGATGACGACGGTAATTGGTGGGGGCGATGTCGGTGGTGGTTGTAGTATTTTTGTTGGTAGTGTATTGGATCTAGTGGTGGCAGTGTGGCGTTATTATGGTGTTGTTGTGGTGGTTGCGACGATAGCGGTGGTGGGATACTGTTTGTGATCGACTATTTGATTGGTTTATGACCAAGTATTGGTGGTAGATCGGGATCGAGTGTGGGTTTTTTGGTGTATGTGACCAACTATTTGATTCATTGTAACTAACTATTAAAATATGACTATAAAATTCGATAATTTGTAATTAAAAAATAATCTGTGACCAACAAATTTGAAAACGTGTGACCGATAAATAAAACGTGACCTATAATTTTTTTTTTTTATCTGTGACCAATGAAATAAATTTTGATATATAAATTTTTTGATTTGGGTCCTTGAAATAATATGTGATAATTAATTTGATAATATGTGACCAAAAAAAGTTATGACTCATGAGCATGCATTTGTGACCATGAATTATATAATTAAGATTTTAATATATTTAATTAATTAATAAATACCCGATTTTTGTAATTTTTTAATTTAAGGCCTGAAAATTTATCTAGTGAGAGAGAATACCTAATTTATGATTTTTTTTTTCCCCTTCCCTTAACTTGCAAAGCCCATTTTGTACTTTGAAGCACAAAAAAGAGTTTTGAAAAATGGTTGTCAAAGGCAAAGTCTGTCTAAGAAACAAACTAGCAAAGTCAACTTAAAAAGAAGAAAAATAGAGGGAATTGATTGAAAACCGACTAATAAATTAGAAAAGGAGGAGAATATTCTCCTCTATCCAAAATACCCGATCCCAGCTTGTGTTTGTAAAGAACGAAGATCATAACCATCAAGTTAATATTCAAATTAGAGAAGAAACGAATGGC